TATCTATCTATCTATCTATCTATCTTCTATCTATCTATCTATCTGTATCAAATATATGTAACAGTATCTATCTATCCTTCTATCTATCTATCTATCTATCTATCGTCTATCAAATATATGTAACAGTATCTATCTATCTATCTATCTTCTATCTATCTATCTATCAATATCTATCTATCTATCTATCTATCAAACATAAACATGAAATAAAATTGTAGCTGTAAGAAGTTCACCATTCAATAACAAATGACAGAATACATTGATAGAAAATACACTATTATAATATATATATATATATATATATATATAAAACAAAATATTATAAAATTGTGTTACTCCATCAATATTCAATTAAAACATTATTTTCTCTCCATCATAAAGCATTTTAGGAGCAGATAAAACACATTCAGACCTCTCGCTCCATTATAAAGCACTTTAGGAGCAGATAAAACACATTCAGACCCACTGAACCGTCATTAAGAATTCATGAATTATTGATGGTCTTCAATGTGGGTCAAATGTGAGTTTGTGGGGACAACAGGAGGGTTTAATGCTGCCAGAACAGCTCATCATCTTGACTGTGTTCTGATGGATGTATAGATGTCAGTTATGCAGTAAATCCACAGCAGAACTGGCCTGTATAGCATCTTCATATCTGTCTCAAGATATATTTTATATTATATATTTAGATCAAATGTAGTTTTTAGTGGATTTTGAGTAAATGTGTCAAATAGCTGTAATTTCTGCCACAAATCATGCTTTTGGAAAATCATAAATAAAACGTCAAAATTATGACATAAAGAGTTGAAATTGAGATAAAAAGACATAATTATGACATAAAATGTCAAAATTAATATACGCAATAAGTGAAAAAAAAATGTACATTTGCAAAAAGTCAGACTTATGAGCTAAAAATTCATAATCATGACATAAAAAGTTAAAAGTATGACATGCATGTATGTATATATATGACACATACTCATATTTTTAGGAAATGTATCAATCAATAATTGAATTAATAATCAATCATTTAAATTATTGAATTATTACATTTTAAAAATTATAATTTATTGCATTATTAAATGTTGTGCACATCTCATTATTCAATTAATTTATTAAACTAAAATATTTAATTAAAATTATTGAATGCATTATTACATTAAGATATATGTATATTTCTATTTTAGTTCTATTTTGGACATATCCATCTGTCAGTCAACATACACTCTAAATATCAGTAATTGTATCGTGTTTTGGTTAAAAACTGTATTGAAGGTCTTTAATGGAAGCTGAACTCATCTCTACTATAATACAATTAATTAATAAGCCAGCCCAAGTCAAAATGTGCATGCATTTGAATAAACATACAACCCATACTTGAGGTCATCTGAGGTCAACACTAACACTAACTTGCTTAGTTGAGCTGCTCATGTGATCAGTCACATTATAATGAGCCTGGATTACTGCAGTGCGGTGCGGGATGTGACAGTGATCCTGTCCTGTCCTAATACACATGTCCACGTCATCAGCACTGAGGGTCAGTTAGAAACGACCCCTGCCTCGCCACAGGCCACTGAGATTACAAATGTGACCCCATCATCTCTAATACCTGTTGTTTAGTCACACATTTCCAGGCAAATAGATCTTATTTGTCCGGGGAGCAGTGGGAACCCCATGGAGGAGGCTGGTGATGAAAGCACATCTATGTTTATCAGCTCGTTCAGCCCTGCGGGCGTCTAATGGAGAGAGTGTGACCAGCTGATGCTGACCAACGCATGACACAGCTGGGCTTCTCCTGAGACACGTGTGTGTGTGTGTGTGTGTGTGTGTGTGTGTGTTGTGTTTATGACTTCATCTCTTAACGAGTACAGCCTAAGGACGCTGACGATGTTGTGCGATTGAAACGGAAGGTAAGCTCCCACGCCTGTGGCTATTCAAATCAAAGCGCTAATTAGTTGAGTCACTACAGTCTGGCTTTGAAAACGCTGGGTTTACTGGTTTGCATCACAGTTTAGTCATGCAGAAGTGCATTTTAAGAAAACAAAAGGATTGTCTAACTTTTATGTGAAATACATGGAAGCCCATTTCTGCCACATAAGAAAAAAACACACGCTTTGGTGAATCATAATTATGACAAACTTATGTCAAAAATATGACATTGTCATTATTGACATAAATTGAAATTATGAGATAAAAATCTGAAATTATAAGTCAAAATCATGAAAAAAAAGTAATGATTATGACAAAAAGTTGAATTTGACAAAAGTCTAATTATGATTTGTCATAATTATGAGGTAATCATGTCATAATCATGGCAAAAAGTCAAATAGGATAAAAGGTCATAATTATGAGACAAAGTCATACTTATAAAACATAAGCTGAAATGATGAAAACAGCAAAAAAAAGTCTTAACTTATAAATTATAAACTTTCTAGTAATTTCTTGTCATAACTATGACTATCTCATAATTTCCACTTTGTCATACTTTGAACTTTTTATCATAATTGACTCTCTATCTTGTAATAAAATTTATGTCAGAATTTCTAGTTTTTCTCACATTTACTTTTTGTCGGAACTATGACTTTTTTGAATCTAAATTAAAAAATGTCAGATTTTCGAGTTTTTCTCACATTTACTTTTTGCCATAACTATGACTTTTTATCTCATAATTTCCACTTTGTCATACTTTGAACTTTTTATCATAATTGACTCTCTATCTTGTAATTAAATTTATGTCAGAATTTCTCGTTTTTCCTCATTTACTTTTTGCCATAACTATGACTTTATCTCATAATTTTGACTGTCATAATTGACTTTCTATCTTGTGGTTCCATGTTTTTGTCACAATTTCTACTTTTTATCTCATATTTACTTTATATGCCATACCTGACTTCTCAATTTTTTTGCCTCTTTTTTTTAATCATAATTTTGACTTTCTATCTCATTTTAATTGTCTTAATTCCTACTTTTATCTCATATCTATGACTTAGTACCTCACAATTTAGATGTTTAATTATGACTTTGTCTCATAACTTCAAATTACATATTTTTAATGTCATAATTGTGATTTACCAAAGCATGATTTTTTTTTTCTTTTGTGGCAGAAATGGGTTTCCATAAGGAAAAATGACTGGCATTTGCAGGGCAAAACTCCCTTCAGTGAGAACCAGCATAACTTCAGGAATCCCTCATGTCTTACTCATCAGAGATCACAAAACACATGAAGACCTGAGATGACAATCGAGCCCTTGAAATGAAGACGTCTGGAATGTGGCAAAGTGGATCTTGCCCACTCTATGACTTAGTACCTCACAATTTAGATTTTTAATTATGACTTTGTCTCATAACTTCAAATAACATATTTTTAATGTCATAATTGTGATTTACCAAAGCATGATTTTTTTTTTTCTTTTGTGGCAGAAATGGGTTTCCATAAGGAAAAATGACTGGCATTTGCAGTGCAAAACTCCCTTCAGTGAGAACCAGCATAACTTCAGGAATCCCTCATGTCTTACTCATCAGAGATCACAAAACACATGAAGACCTGAGATGACAATCGAGCCCTTGAAATGAAGACGTCTGGAATGTGGCAAAGTGGATCTTGCCCACCGATGCGACGTGTTTGAGCTCATTCAGTCGGCGTGTTTGAGGGGAAATGAGTGTGTTATTGTCTGAGAAGCCATGTTTGTTTGCTCTCGACTGAGGTCAAGTGGAAGTGAAAGTGTTATGTAGGTCAAAACAAATCCCAGACATCAGGTGACGGTCAGACTTCCTGACACTCCCCCTGCTGGCCTGAGCAGCTCACTGCAGACAGCAGTATAAAGCTCCAATGCATTACAAACTCATTTAGAGGAAACACTCCTATTCACCTATAAATCAGTAGCATCAATCCAAAAATAAGCTTTTCATAAACAAGCTCATGAATCAGCTAAACGGAAAAAATAAGTGGGTGAAATGTTAAAGAAATAAAACCCTGTAACATCTGTTTGTCATGGACTAGCATTTTATTTACAAAAACATGGAGCATAAATGAACAACGTCGCTCACTGTCATGTGACGTACAAACACAAGGGCGCTTCTACACGACATCAGCAGTTAAAATGAATAAGAAATGAAGGATGAGAAGGGCTGGTCTCCCGCAGCTCACCGCAGGCCTAGAACTTGAACTCTTTGTATTTCTTCGCTCCAGAGCGCGTGTCCTGCGGCTGCGACTTGCGCTTCTTTTGCTGCGAGGAAGAGAGAAAGAAACATATTTTATGAAACAGGTTAAAACACACTAACCATTCACTAAAACGACAAACAAAGACGGTACACAAAACACCTTATATTATCAAAGACATTTAAGTGGCTCTATTCAAAAAAACTTTTCTTTATTGCACTCCATTTAGTGCAGAAATGAATATAGTGATTTTAGAATTCTTAGAATTTTTATTTTTTTTTTTCCATTGTTGTGTGTTTTTTTAAATTTTTTATTATAGCATCCTCTGCAAAGCATTTCAAAAACATGCAGAGGTCATATTTACCTAAAATCAAAATTTGGAAAGATTTG